CACACAAGCAAAAAAAAACCACAACCAACACACTTAGAAAGATTCAAGATAAATTCACCAACTCTGACTGAGATGTATTGATTACGCAGCTTAAGATAGTGCCACATAGACACAGAATTTAGTAGGTATTAAATAAATACTTCGATAGTTAATTTCAAGCATAGAAAAAAAAAAAAATCTTGCTTTCTGGTGCCTGTGCATTAGGACCTAACCTGGAATAACTCTTCCTCCCTCGAAAACAGGCAAACATGAAACAAGGGGTTATTCTTTTTTTTTCAATTGTGCTTAGAAAAAATAAAACATTTCAGAAACATTTGATTTGCCACATTACCAGCTTCTTCAAGCTGGTCTGTCTAATCAACCTATCCAAAGTTTGGTGTTTCAAGAGTCTTCATGTAACTCCTGTCATTGGCTCAAGCAATGCAGACATTTAGAAGAGGTAAAAGATGAACACTTGGTGGAAGCTTACAAAATATACCCCACTATGCAAACCTTCTCTCCTTATGCTGAGAGACAGCTGCAGCATTCATAGAAGACAAGACATTGTCCCACTAGACAGTAAAGGAAAAAGAGAGAAAATAATTTCCCACTAAAAGTCCACACGTTTCTCTGTAATTCAAAACTCAGCTGTTTCCTTGAAAACACGGACTACACTGATTTTGTATACTTTTTCCAAAGAAAAAGAGAATATTATTGGCAGAAGACCATGGCATGATTGGAATCTTCACTAGTCCAAAGACTGCACTTTTCTTCCATATTTTCACTATTTAGCTGTGGCTATTCCTTCCATCTGTAAGCAGCAGCCCTGGCCGTTCCTTCCACTGCCTGACAAATGTTTCAGAATTCCTGGGAGATTTATTTTTCCTCCCTAGCTAATCAAGTAGAACACAACTGCAGGGGAACAACTTCAAGATAAATCAGAACAACTGGGAATGTGGTTGAAGACCTCCAGGACATATGGTTAAGGTGCTGTTGAACAAACAACTGAGCACCTTTGGAGGGTAGAACAAGCAACACATCAAGACAGGCAAGCATTAGAGGCCAGACCCGTTGTCTTCCACTTCAGGAAAATGTGAAACAGTCAAGGAAACTTTTAACCAAACAGTTTTTAATTTTTAAAAGCTAAATCAGCAAGAAGAGAAAAAGGCACAGTAACCCACACCCTCGCCTCTGAACTACTTTTTTGTCAACTATTTCTCAAGTGGAAACACTCACCTTCATTAAGCAAAAGCTTTCCTTTTCTGAGCCTTTTCTCTTTTTAGATTTTCCCTGCCCTCGTTTTACCTCTCATCTCTTTCCAAGAAAGGGAAGTCTCTGCTTTCATTCCATAACTTGGAAATCTTACTTATCTCATTCCCAGCACTCTTGCCTTTTTCTCATCATCCTTTGAGCACACAAGTTGCTCCCAGGTCTTTAGATATTTAAAATTATTAGCTGTGTCCCAACCAAAAGGAAGGCAATGTCATGATTTAAGAAAACAGGAGATTAAGGTTCAAACTCCATCTCTGTGCAAGATTGCCTTCCTGTCCTAGCTTGCTATTTTCACCACAGACCAAAAAGTTTTCCTATTTTCACATTCAACCTGCTATTTACGCCATCACGTTTTCCTGGAGTAGAGACGGTCCAGAATAGTCCATGTGCTTACGTTGTGCCTGCAGTAATTAGGCCGAGTGTCAGATCCAGACCACAGTCACTACAGTCACAGTAACCTACTCTTTGTACTACAACAGAAAAGCTCTGAAGCTTCTGCAAAGGATGTAGCAAACTGCTAGAGAACCTGCTGAGATCACGCACCTCTGTTACATTTCTCCAACAGTTTTTGCTGCTTATTAACTTCTGTTGTCAAAACAGCCTTTTCTTCTTTCACTTTATTCACCTGGAAAAGTGTGAAGATCAAAAATAAGAGTATTTTAGTTAGTGGCATAAGGCATATAGCAAGACATAATGCAAGCAACATTTTGCTTTCATTCTTAGGTTCGGCTTGATCTTAGGGCTTCCAGTGGGATGGAAAACATTTTTACCCCAATTTACAGACCTCATAACAGATGGCATTAAAGAGTTGTGAACTTATCCTTCACCTGGGGCTCCCATGGCCCATTCTCACGGCACGTACCAGTCACAGCTGCAAATATAACATCTTTGGAACCTTTCAGGATGAGGCGCCATAGCACCTGGTTGAAAAGTTACTAGCTTGTCCTTGACTGTTTGCATTTTAATATAGTCAGGCTGCTGTTTTGCTTTTTTCTTGGGCTCTGTTTATTGTCCAAGAGCTGTCAGCTGTGTCTTTCTGAATGCAAGTGTTGCATAGACAGGAAGAGCCACTAAGTCCTGATTTGCATAAGTACAGTGCTTATCCAGTTTTCAAGCAGGAATGAAACTCTGCTGGCTCAAAAAGCCAATTTGCTGGTCTAATTACCATGACAGCACACTGCCAATGGCTAAACTCAAGGATATGCTCAACGAAGTAGCACCAGTGATTAAACTGGACATTCTCCAGAAGTATTTCTTGCACATCCACAGGTTTAAGGAAATCAAAAAAACCCCAAAAAACCCTGCAGACTGTGATGGGTGAGGGGCTATCAGGAAGAGGAGATGAGAGTTACAATATGGGCAGTAGAATAGATGATGAAAAGTCATGTGCCAGCAACAGCAGTAGATGGGACTCTTGACAAAGAAGGCCCCTTCTAGGCATATGCCCCAAGTGGTCCATCATATGGGCAGGCTGGCAGGACTTGCGATTAGACAGTATTCAATTAACTTCACAACTGAGTGTTTTTAGCAAAATTAGATACAAAAAGTACTGACTACACGCTAACGTGGTCTCGCCTTCCATGCTACAATACATACTTCTTCAATTACTTCTACAAGTTTGCACCTCAGGTTTTCCAGTTCAATGGCTAAGGTCTTCTTTTCCTCATGAACAGATATGATTTGGTCTCGCAGCTCTACGGTTTGAGGAAGGAAATGAAAAATATAGTTTATTATTGGAAGAAAACAACAAAGGAAATATAATAGCAATGCAAGTACAATCAAGTACGAAACACCTTAACTGCATACGAAGCATCAGCTGTATTCAAGGTACATCCTCAATAATTTAGGAACTTGGCGTAAGTGTCAAGTAACAGATCTATAACTGGGCCGCAGTTTCACATTTACTCCATTGAGGTAAGCTGCCTTGTTCAGTACTGCTGTCTTTATTTGCATTCTGAATGATTCATTTCCTGCTATAACGGGGCCAATCCTGCCACCACAGAGTATCCTCAGTCCTATTCAGGAGACTGTCACATCACAGAGGCTCTGGTACAGAGGTAGCAGAAAGCAATTTTTAATAGGCATCCTTTAAAACAAATTAATGCACTTCAATTCTTTTTGGATCATGAGTTCTTGTCACAAGGGAAATAAACAAAACAACAGGCAGTTAATACTTGGGAGGTTTTCACTGAAGAAATTGTCCTGAACAGCTGCCAATTTATAGTCTTTGTAACATTATGTGAACAGAGTCAGAATATAACCTTTACTGATGGAAGAGCTAATGCTTGTAATTTTCCCCTCAGAATTTTTGTTCCTTAATTATCAAAATATGAAATAAATTAAATTCACAATGGAATAAAACATTTGATTATAATCACTTCTTAACAGGAGATCAGTTTGCATACATAATATATCATGGTTTAGGTTAACATAAAACCACCACAAAAACATAAATTTATTGATATATATTAGCTTTCAGTAAGTGCTCTCATTCCCCACCTGCTTCCAGTATTTCATAGCACTGCTGTTCATTGAATACCAGGCACGAGTTGAGAAAATTCTTGCTAATCAATTGCAGACGACGATGACATGCTGAATGTCATTCTGTTTGGTCTCACATCTTGAAAATGCTGATTTTACCCCAGTCCCCCCCTCCCAATTCAGGAGCCTCGGATTTATTTTCCGCCTAATTAAAGACGCACACAAACTAAAGTAAATAAAAAGACTTGTTTTCCCAGAAGATTCTTGAACCAAATCGTCTGGTTTATGGATTTATGCTTTCCAGTGAAATTAATGGAAAAAAGAGTCTCACTGAAATTTATGGTAAGTGGATTAATTCAGGTCTCACAATACATATATCAATCTCATACAGAGAAGAAAGCATATCCATATAACTAAATCTTTCTAAATGTGTACAAGAAGTGTTTCTTTTCAACCACAGGGTATGCACTGAACTGCTTGACCAACACAACTGAGTTTTCAGTTCTTGTTATATCTGAAAGGTCAGCTAAAAATAAAAGAAAACCCCAAACCTATAAATGAATTTCAGGTACTGCTCTGAGACTACTCTACACTTCCATAAGGAACTACGGCTTTACTAACACCTTTCCCTAATGTATGAGACAGCAAAAAGAGAGGAAGGCATTTGAGGGACAAAATTTTATCCCTTTAATAAACAAGAGGATTTTAATCAAAAAGCCTCAGACTATACTACCTTATTGTATATCCTTACAGAAAAAGTGTTGGAAGTGAAGGAATCATTCCAAGAAACATCCAATATTTTGCTGAGTGGCGAGAGGGTTAAAAGACTTCCGAGGTTCATGACACAAAACACAACTGCTTGGAATCATAAACATGCAAAGAAGCGTGGATTGCCCCTTCAGCAACACCACAAAGCTTTAAGAGGAGTTTTGAAAACATTTTTCATTGCATACGGTCTTTCGCTTAGCAGGTAAGCCAAGATGTAACTTCGATTTTACCCCGAAGACAAACGCCACGCAGCTTGGCTTGGGCGCGGGGCACAGCCCTAACGCTGCCTCTTGGCACGTGCTGTCACATCGCTCTGCCACCTTACACACACGCCTCTCTCCAGGAACACGGATGGAATATCTTCTCCTATAGCAAATGGGATGCCAATGCTTGCAAAAGCACTCCGCACTTGTAAAAGTAAGGTCATTAACATTTAATAATAAGGCCGGGGGGACGAGTAGAAGCCAGGAGTTCTGAATCCCTTACATTTACATGCCACATTCCGTTCTTTAATGAATTCTTCATCAAGACAGAAAGCATATACATCAGAGCTCTTCTTGAAATATTCCTCTTATCTGACCCTGCTACTCTCCTAACCACGTTCTCTGACACGCAGCCAAAGTCTTTGCTCTCTTTAAATGTATACTTGACATCTTTCTCCAATAAAAGACCAGAGCAACTCCAGAGCCTGATTTCCCATTCAGATGGGTTGCATAGTGTGGATCACACCATTCTCTGCCTCTTTTCCTACCTCTATAGGATGCAAACCTGCTTATTATAGAAGGGTACTATGACATCTTATTTCCTGGGTAGGATTTTTTTGAAGCATTTTTACAACACTCGTTCTTTTTTTCTCAGTGATACTTTGTACCACGTCATTGAGGCTGCTGCATTCAAACAGAAAACAATTAACAAGGTCAGGCTGAAAGTTCAGGAAAGCTGTACTTAAACATCATTCGCTATTGTAACTCACTATCAGAAAAAAGTGAAAGCTTTTTTGTTTTAAAAAGTGAACCACTTAATCTCTCTGTCACCAAATGCAGAATGTGGGTGTTTCCTTTTCGGATACTATGGTATAACAACATACAGAATCACGATGACTTCATTACAGAGTTAGACAAGAAAGGAAGGCAGATTTTGGATTACAGAAACACCAACTGCCTTTCAAAAAAGAACCAGAAATTTCTTAGTAAAGCACGGATTTTTCTTATCAATGCACTTCTATGTTCTCAAGCTTTGCTGCTTTACCCAGTACAACAGTCCCTTCTTAAGCTGCTTGTTTGGTAATGGCTCTGGAAAATGAATAATGTTTGTGCATTCAAAAGTACATAATGGAAATGAGAATGGAGAGTCTTGTCTTATAAGCTTTGAAACAGTGCCATTGCAGTTGAAGCAATACCAAGGTGACCTTGCCCTTCTGCTTAACTTTAACTTTGTTAAGGATCTGAGGAAATATTTCTTTTATCAACTCAGTAACATTGGACTCTTAGCTGTGTACATCTCAGTTTCCTATTGCATTGAGGCTTACTTTGCAGGCTGTATATCCACCGTATACCTTACACAGCACCACTACAAGCCTACCATGTTCTTACAGTCTTTCCTGGAAGTGCTTTGATGACCACTCTCAGAAGCATGACTCAGAGCCAGCCAGATCTCTTGTCCAAACTGTTTCTGTCATTCTTTAGACAACTTTTGCCTTGTGTGGTGGTGTAGGCTCAGCAACAACACTCACCTTTTATTTGCTGCTGGCAATGCACAGAATTGCATGATCCAGAGTTAGCTTCTGTATCTGTGGATGAATCGTCCTCATCAATGTTTATCTCTTCAGTGATAATTTCTGGGCCCAGTTTTGCCATATAGAGCATACTAATTCTCTTCAAGGTCTTATTTTCTTTGTTCAGCTGAAAGTTGAGAAGTGCAAACAGTAAGAAGCTAGTTAGACTGTCTTTAAGCTGCTGTGCAAGGAAAAAAAAAGTCAACTGATTTTTTTTTTTTCTTTCTTATCTTTAAAAGATCTAGCAAACAAGATAAATTAACATTAGATCAAATGCTTTATTCAACATTAAAATGGTCTGAAGATGGGAAGCTTGTCCTCTTTCTCCTCTGCGGAGGCTTGAATTCAACACAATGCTTCATCCATGCCCTTCTTTCCTCTCTGATACTTCTGACTAATAAATACCCTGTGTAGCTTCAAATCAAATCAAATCCTTAACGCTATGCATTCTTTGTGATAGCTGCCTCAGTTCCTTATACTTAAGCATGTACCAGCATCAACAGGAGCCCTAACTGAATGACCTGAAGAAGGGCTTGTGTTCCTGAAAGCTCGTCTGGTTTTGCCAGTGATGTCAATTGGTCAAATAAAAACCTCTTACCTCCTCCTATGCCCTTATTTTGCTTATGAACTACAAACATCACAAATACTATACTCCAGTCATGGCAGAATTACCTAAAAATTGTTTTGAATTATTTTCAATTCTCAGCAATTATTACTGTGCAGTCAATATACGTTAAGATGAAAGCTGTATCATAAACCAATTCTTTATGGGTCAAACCACAAGCCAGAAAGCACTCTGGGCTGGATGCTTAAACACATGCCTGGTTGATGGATGATAGAGAAGAGCTGCTGTAAAGCATCTATGTCTTGACCAAGGTGCCAGGAAAAGCTGAACAGCAGAGATTGCTGCAAACGTTTCATTCTCACCATTTCTTTCACTGTTCCGCATTTACACACCCCATTCCAGCAGCTCTCTGCATGCTCAACACAGTCTCAGGGGTGTTCAGGTATATGTTGGGGTGACTGTCCACCCACCAGTAAAGCATTCCCTAGAACGAGGCTCAATTTTCTACTAATTTCAACTTTCTACAACATGTTGAAATCAACATGTACTTCAGAAGTCCAATATTTACCTTGAAATAAACCATATACTGAACAGTTAGGCTGACCCTGAAGTTTTACCTAAGCAATCATCTTTGATCCCCCCTTTTCTAAGCCCAATTACAGGAGATTTATTCAAGAACTTCTTCATCTCATTCCGAAAGGAAAAACTGAGCAAGTGGGAAGGGTAGTGTAAGGAACCTTATTTACTCAGCTCAGAGAGACAAACAAATCAGCTTTGGCAAAGCGGCCCCATGGGGTAAAGCTAGTCTTTGAATTGCCCCCGTATGTGCATTACAGGAAAAGTGCCGAGAAGAAGAAAAGTTGAATAAATACATTCATTTTCTTACTTATATGCTGATTGTCTATCTTATGAATTCTAATATAGTGTCATTATGCAAACAATTAAGTAAATATCTCCAGAAAGTACATTGCTAATGCATCTAAATTAAAGTGATTTCTTGCTGATGTGATTTTTACCATATCTAAGGATGTACTTTGGGCAGGGGATGGGGAGGGGAGGGGGAAAAAAAAAAAGAAAAAAAAAGGCAGTCAGCATTGCTAATGAAATTTGGTTCAAAATTGCTGTAATCCATTTTCTGATGAAGTGGCTCAGATGCATTTTACACAACCAAAAATATATAACAGAGAGATAAAAACATTCTTTAATAATAATGCACTTCTGATGAGATGGAATATAGAAAATTACACACTTGCTAAATTCATCAGACTAGACGCAATCAACAGAGCAGCGGAGGTCACCTTTCCCCTGCCCTCGCTTTCCTTTCATAAACAATCACCTGAAATGTAATGCAGTGGTTGACTTTTTCCATTTGATTTAGACACTGAAATGCTCATTATTGTTTTATATCTCACACAGGACAGTTCTAGAACTTGTTTTCCATTTAACCTAAATGCATATAAAAACTAGATATCAAGATGCTAGTCCATGACTTACCGTTCCAAAATAGAAACTACATTAAAACGCATACATTTCTCTTTAAAGGAAGGAATTCTACCTGCATCTCCATATGGCTTACAGTTTTTGCCACTTCAAAACAATTTCACGGATCCGCAAGATTATACGCAAACATATATGGGACACGTATACAATTTCAAGCTAAAAAAAAAAAAACAAAAATAAAAAGGAAATCAGATGACACAGAATCACCATAATTCTTCTCACCTTAGAAGCCAAAGCCTCAGCACTTTCACGGCACGTCTTCTCAATTTCAAGATGGTTCTGAATGCAGTTTACTTCCTCAATAACCATGTGAGAAACTAGGGGAAGAGTTTAAAAATTAGTCAGTATTTTCCTGCATTTGACACATGAATCCCATGATCAGCAATGCTGTATCTTTTCTGTTAACTTTCTATGCAAGCATTTCAAATACAGGAAAGTACATACTTAAATAATCTCCATTGATAGGAACTGTTCTGAAAGTCAAATATCTGGTTTATTGCTTGAAGCAACTCTCAAGCCATGTCTGGAGAAGGAACTGGAGATCTGAGCATAAACTTATGGAAGTAGAAGGCCATCAGGAGCCTCCCTGACCATCACCATTCACCATCTTTATTTCATTAACACTTGAGAAATCAGAGTCAGACCACTAAGATTGTCCCTTCAGATTGCCATCATACTCCTCTTAAAAATTTTGGTACAGACACCGTTTTCAGAAGATTGGAACCTTGATACTTGTAAACAGTAAGATTAACTTAGATATCTTGCAAAGATTATTTCCACCTTCCAGTCTCCAAGTTTATATGGTATTTTAAGTATCATCACACTTGCTAAACACACTGTACAAGAGCTGCAGAATGGACATAGAGTGCAGGCCTGGGGCAAGTTTACTAGGAAATGGAGAAAGGAGTTAAGTGACCAAAGCTTCCATGTTTGTAGTGCCTCCTACAGCACCTACTCCACTGAAGCCAAATCATTAGCACAGCTAATGATGCTTCTTCTGGTTCTGCCCCATCAGCTTCGACACTAGCTGCAGCAGCTGGGATACACCCTGATGGAGGCAATCCTGATGGGAACTCAACGCTGCTTGCACTGCCTGGATTCTGACAACCTCAGCTGAACAACCCAAGTTCTGTATTACTACACAGCGGTAATGTCCTGTTTCTTATTTGAAGCCTCTCCGTGCTTAAGGACGCCCTAAAATAAGCACTGTGGTCTCACTGTCTGCCTCCACAGTCCTACGCAGACTCAGCCACCAGCACGCACCAGGGACACACACAGTATTTCGCAAGACCAGGGCTAAGGGCGAGCTGCCTGACTGCATCCGGAATACAGGACTGTGCTACTGTATTTGATGCCACAGCTGGAAGAGCAAAAGACACATCTGTCCTTTGCACTTACAGGATCCCTACTGCCGCAGTGGGTACACATCACTGTATCGAAGGTGTGTGACGTTCCTAGAGTGACCAAAAAGTTATGGAACAAATCCTGTTTTGTAACATAGGATACCAGTGTGAGCTAGAGGACATTTAAAAGCACAGATGCACTTTGGCTTGCCATTCCTCTCACAGCTTCCAGCAGTACATAGGTACTCAACTACTGCTGAAAGTCATCTTCTAAGCAACAAGCTTCAAGTTGCACAGGAGATCTGGAGCAAAGCAGGAAACCCAACAAGTTTCTCATTTCTTAGGCTAGCAGCACCTTGCTCATTGACACAACTCCTCCTTGGCTCCTGGCACCCTTATCTGTCCTAAGCAGCAGCCTGGACCCTAATTCTACAAGTTATTTCATGGTACAGATTCCTTTTCAGTGTGAGGATTTCAATGTGCTGAAAGCACTATTCGCAGTTGAACAATACTTAGGAGCAGGAACAAGGCTGGAATAATATAGTGTAAATATGGAGAACTTTTTCTAGTATCTCCTTTCATTTTCATGAAGATAAGGTTTAAAAACCAGTGAACTAGTGAAAACTAGAAAGTCCTGCTTGCCCTCTTCCAAAACTTTTGCCTAAATACTGAAGAGAGATACTCAAGTCCTCTTTAATATCCACAGGTCATTTTAATGACTACAAAATAGGACTTTAGGATGGCAAAAAGCAGGCTGTTAACAAGTGTTATTTATGCAGCTTTACTGACACGTCGTCAATATCAACTAACGTTTTCGTTAATAACACAGGAAACCAGCAATACATTGGAGTTTGCTGTCAAATCAGTAGCTGCATGCAAGAAACAAGTTCTTCATACAAAATATGAGCAGCCAAAAAAAAAGAGCAAGGCAGAGTACTGGTCCACAACAGTACAAGTACAGTATCTTGGTCCAAAAACTATATTAACGTAAAGTCTTCTAACAACAGAGCAACCACACCTCTTTCTTTGGTTGTCTTTTTATTTCTGCTTTTTCTGACTTCAGAGAAATTATCTGCTCCAACCGTGCCGTACCAGCTGCTATATTGAACTTGAGAGAGGAAAAGCTTCAGGTAGTACATGTTCATATCTCTTCTGCTTTTATTCTACCTACCTGTGGGCATTTGGAGCAATGAAATGCTTTGGACAGGACGAGGGAGCAGTGGAGATACAGAGCTGCTCCCATTTTACAGACAGGAATCTAACGGCCTCAAGCAAGGCTAAAGTTAGGAAACAAGGATTGGGCTCACATGGCAGAACTAGGGATTACTCTTGGTTCATTTAAACTTAATTAACCTGCAATTATGATTAACTCAGGGGAAAAAAATCTTTCCAAATTAAATACAAAAATATATTATTTCCTAAGTCTGTCCAAAGTTCTTATTATGTCAATATTAAAATTCATAAAGCAGCACTAAGTGGCCTGAAACATCTCTAACCTTGACAGTTTTTTTCAGGGGTAATAATAATCCGCAGCAAATGCAGGCCAACCAAAAACCACTTAACTAATTAGTAGTTGCAGTCACCGAGAAAACATGAATCAACACTGTTATTACAAGTGGCACATTTGAGTGGCATCTAATTATGACTTGATGAGCACGATACTTGCATTATCAACATTACTACTGCATCCCATCAGGGACTAAAAGCCGCTGATGGCATTGACTGCGAGAAACTCCCACTCAATGGTACTGCAGCACCCAACAATCTCCTTGGCAGGGGCACCCTCACTAAATGACATGTTAAGCGTAATTACTGGTAGACATTGTAAATAAACAGGATTGGAAGTGAAAATTGTACCAAGTGCATAAGACACAATCTGACACATTGGAAGTGGCAGCTTTAATTGAGAGTTTCTTTGACTGCTCAAGATCATTTCAACTGCATTTCTCGGAGGACAGTGATTATAACTGTGGAGACAGACGGCATAATGGTATCAGCACTGCTGACAGAGCAGTGAATTAAATTGTATCTGCTGTTGTGTGAAAGCCTTGATGAGAGGTACAGATCCTTAGTGGTCTTATCATTATAACACAATGGTCATGTTGTCATCAACCTTGCTGGCTCCAATTGAAAAGAAATGATTGTGTGTTGAAGCTTTCCCCCCCACCACCACCTTCTATCTCTTGTGCTCAATAGAACCAATTTTCAGAGAGCTATGAAATCACGCAATAGGGCCTAAAATGCAGCTGCTTGGCATACAAACGGGGCCCCATTAAACTGGAATCACACACAATATGTGTTTATGCCAGGAGAACAAATAGAAGCTGAGTACAGGCCAAGTTTATTCACAGACACAAAGCCGATGTAGCTCTTCATCAATATAATTGCCTTTTATATTGTCGTTTAAATAATGGGCTCTATTATTGCCTTAAAATCCTAATATTCCTGGCATTTTATCACTATGTTTACAAGGTATGTCCTTTAAAAACGTGAAAGGAAGATAAAAGAAACCTATAAAATTTTACAACATCAAATATTACTTCAAATTTTAAGTCTTAACTACTTGACATTTTCTGCCACACTCTGGTATTCCTTCTATCATAACAAAAACAAAACAGGCTGCAATTTTGTCCGGAGGAATTACAGTTCTTAGAGAACATTCTTGCCTCACAGAACAGTTATCTAAGATCATTTAAGGCAGTAGATGATTCCTGTTGATTTTAAATTATTTTCCATAATTGTGTCATACGAACAATTATAAGACAGAAGTGAGCAAATTCCTCTATTAGAACAGTCACACAAAAATATAGATCATGTGATTTCCTTCTCCTGCATTAACTTCATCCACATTTCTGATGCTTCCTAGTGCAGTTCACCGTACTGGCACAAGCCAGACATAACAGACCGCAATCCCATTGTACTTGTCTCTTCTAAGGAGCTATTCCACTAGGATACTTCCACTCCCATTAGATGTGCTTTGTTGCTTCCAGACACCATACAGTTTCAATAGAACCATTACCATAAAAGTGTAAAACTGAATATTGACATTCTCACAGCCCAGACAAGACAGAACTTGCCCTAAAAATTATCAAGAGACAGCAGTTCATCCTAAAAATCTTTATTGGTGTGACTATGCTTAAAGTACTTTTACTCCTTCTTCATGAAAAAATTACCATTATTATTATTATCATCAATCTCAGCAATAGGGTCAAATCCCACTCAATCCAAGCATACATCATTCTAAAAGTCACTTGCAGAATCCAGGTAAGATAGAGCCACATTTGTACCACTGTATTTTCAGCACTTGGCACCTTAAGAATGGCTATCTGTGTGGGAGCATATAAATGCTGTTACAGCAGTTAGTCTGACAGTGGTCAAATCTCACTGGATTAACTCCTCAGAACAAGGCTTTGAAGGAGAAACAGCAAGTGGACCTGAACCTCAGCATTCTTAGCACTGCTGTAGAGTATGCAGAGCGATGTTCATAACTCTCCATACCAAAAAATTCCTACTATCAACTTACTTTTCTGAAACTCCTCCAGTTTTTTGACAGCCTCATCTCGTTCTTGCTTGATTTTGTCACACTGTAGGAGAAGAGAAAATTAAAATGAAACACAGATCCCGGTTATTTAATTAGCAGTGAGTCACAACATGCAAAATCAACAAAGATCGATTGCCAGCACAATAACATATAGAAGCCTATCAAAGGATTTCTTTTTGCTCTCAGTCATGTAAGATTGATGGAAACTATGCATAAAAAATTCATTACCCAGAGTATTTCCTAACCAAACCAGCAAGTTGTACTTGATTGTAGGTTCCAATTCAGAGCTACCCTGAAAACATTTTAGAAGAGCCACATTATCCAAAACTGATATAAATAGTCATTCGTGTTCCACACGACAGTAAAAGCAATACTTTGCACGTCAAGAATATGCTTTAAGTCTAGTTTCTTTAACACAAACAGACTTGGAAGAGAGGCCTTACATTTCTATGCCTACCATGTGCAAGGAAAACCTCAAAGCCAATAAACATGCTGTTCAGTTTCACAACATCATGAGCAAAGTTTCAGCCTTGAAGAAGGGAAGACACTCATTTTCATAATTTGAGGATTTCCCATCACTCTGGTTTTATTAATTTGGGGGTTAATGCTAATACTATACAGAGCAGCAATCACTGATCTTATGATGGAAAGGTTTCTTCAAAGAGAAAGAATAAAGCAGACCTTAAATAGACTTCTCTAAGAAAACCCCTTGTGAAAGCAAATGAAAGAAATCAAAGAAATGAGTAACCTTCACAAGAGACACAGTCAGTGATTAACCACACTGTGAAAAACACATGACCCAGGGGGAAGTATGACTGGCACACAACGTGTTTTACACACACGGCGTACCAGACATCCTTCCTCACATGCAGCTGTGTATGTTCACAGTAATAAATCAACCTAAGACCAGGAGTTAACTTCTGGAAAAGATCTGTGTGACTGAGTTCCTTACAGCATAACTGCAATTACAAGGATACTGGTCATTGGAACAGAACTGGGAAAAAAAACCTTCAAATGATTTTGCTCGATTTTCAGTTTTTCCACATGAGGACCCACTTTGAGTTAGCCGGGAAAGGAGCCTGCTGTTAAGTAACAAGAGAGGGGAGAGCTTGATTCAAAGGCAGCTAAATTCAAGAGAGCACTTCTATCAGCTCCAGTGAACCTTGGATGAAGACCAAAGAAGGATCTGCTCTTGGGCCAGGAGAGGATGCCACTGCTGTCGCCTCAGGGGCAGCCCCCACGAAAGCTCTGGAAACCACTGGTGATGGCTATCTGTGGGAGCAAATGGAGCTGCACTGAACAAGCAATCCCTCCTCTCGTGGCACTGGGGTGATGAGGCAAAGGACAGCAGCTGAGTAGGGGGGACAGGTCAGTCACCAGCTGCTGTTAAGGTCTGTGAAACAAGGAAGAGCAGCAGAAGGAGCAAGATATGCTGAGAAAGCAGCGCCGGACAAGGACTCACCGTTTCATCTGGCCCTGTTAACAAAGAAGCTGTTTAGAGACTCTTGCACAGGAGAGGTGGGGAAGGGAAATCTGTGCATGAATCTTGCTGCTTGCTGCCCTCTCTCTCAGTTTCCTCAACAAAAATTTGCCTTACCTTACCGGCAGAAGCGCAGTCTAAGAACAGAAGGCAACAAAAGACGCAGAAATAAAGTATTTCTGATCCACTGCAAAAGGGGATCAGTGTGAGCTGCTGCCTCTTCGTATTTTACAAGAGAGACACTGTAACCACACTGGCATACTTCACCCACGGATTTTTCTGCATGCTGCAAGCTTTCAGCCCACTCTGCATTAGGCGAACAAGCATATTTAATGCTCAGTTTAAAAACCAGGAAGATTCGTGTTTTAAGGATCTCATCTGTTGCCCATGAAAGTCAACAAGCCACTTTTCTACTGATGGAAACCTTGATGTAGAGGATGTGGTACACTCCCTATCCCAGTGACAGGAAAAACTCCTTTTGAAATACTCCAGCAACACGCTGTAAGGCATAACAGCTTTCCCTGTGCAGCGAAAGGGAAAGTTAAATGACCTCTTCACTTTCATAGCTATTTGCAGAGAGCTGCATGTGGACCACGGCAAGCTGGCTATTCTCCTGCTAGCTACGCATGTTTCTCCACGCGTTCAGGGTCTGTAGGCTGGGGTCTCTGCAGAGTAATTCCTGCTCCCAGTTGCAGCTTTCTGAGTATTTTCCTTTCGCTGCTACTGTGCTCCGGAATGAAAGAGCAGGAAGAAAAGGAGAATGGGAGATTGTTGCCCTTGCTGAAATGATCAACGGAAAGCACTTTGCCTTCTGTCTTGCAATCAGACCTGTGCAAGTAAAGCTGTTGCAAGTCCTACCGAAAAAAATAGTTTATCTCTAATTTAGCTAAGAATCAGAAAAAGTTAAGATTGTCTTTAACTACTTGTGCTGTTTCAAACTGGAAAGTTACACAAAGTATTCCTATAAAGCAATTTAAACTTCATAATAAAAACCGTTGTCATCCCTTAAAATAAATTGACTTTATTTTTAAAACAGGAAAGTTAAAAAATATCAAAATTTAGAAGTTAGCTACTCTCAAAAAGCTGCACAGAAGCCTTCAAAATTCATAAACATCTCATTTTTCAAAAAAAGTCATTTAAGGCATATACAGTAGAACTGTTAATTGACAAGAATATCAGTAATCCTAAATGTTAAAAGGCAAATAGCATAACGCTTCTATAAAATCCACCGTTCACTTTTCACATTCAAGCGCATGTAAATGCTGAGGAGAAACAGCTTTCAAGTATTAAAGTCTCCCCTTGTCAGTACTAACAGATAGCTCCATACTCAAGAGTATCTTCAAATGAAAAAAAAAAAGTCAGTAACTCCTGGATTGTGGGTCAATTTTCTGGTTTTAATTTCATTTTGTTAAGAGCTCCAGTTTCTCTGCAGAGGAAAACAAGCGTTTATACCACTTTATTTACTATATTTTAGTCTAATATTTATAGCACAGTTATTCCAATAAAAAACCAAAGGCAATAGACAATATTCCCATTCCAGTCCTGAACCAGCTACAGGAGTCAACAATAATTTCTTGGCAATAAAAAGACATTGCATCTGTATTTTTAGAAAAAATTACAGCTCGTTTTCCAAAATTCATTTTGTGAATAACTCCTTGCAGTTTTTCATCTTTGCAGAAGCAAGTTCAGGAGCTTTGCCAATCCCACTCAATTTCAGAGTTTTGCCTTCTCGCTACGCAAGACAAGAGTCAGTACTTTCATTTCTAGCACAGAGAACTGACGTGCTGACTACTTACACGTAAATCAGGTACATGCCAAAGATCAGTGCTCACAACAAACACTGCATATATACGAGGTGACCAGCAGTACATGAACTTGGGCTGTACTTGGAGTAATCACAATACCAGGACAGCACCATGCCACCACGGGAACCTGACACTACAATGTGATGTTGAGTAGTTGATGCACACAATCACCTGGGAGTCTGTGGATACACAGGTCTCCGCACACTCTCTCCCATCAGCCTAATGACTCTTTGCCATTAGCTCCAGGGAGGCCTGAGTTTCTTGTCTATTCTCTTCTAACAGGCTTCTTTTTTGCCAACTATTTTGCACATAAGCTCCTACTGACTTCAGTAAACGGCCTTCAAAGGGCAAAAACAAGGAGGAGATTGTTCAGCACAAATATTAAGATGCCAGAAGTCCATGTAGTAGCCATATAGTCAATTAAGTCATTGCTAAGCAATACAAGATACATTCTTTCCCGTCTACACAGATTGTGAAATTTATGCAGATTTAATGCTTGTTCTAAAATTATTAGTTTGGAACACTGCTCAAAAGTATCCTATGACATTTGCTATACTCTACTGACAGAAAGAACGAACGTGTCATCAAGGCAGAATCCATTCTGCATTCCCATTTGGTGATAAAACATATAATCCACTCGATACATGTGCTTTAACAGAGCAAACACCATGAATGATGTATCAGAGATACAGTATTACACCTACTGTTTTGGAAAGCTGTCTTGCTTTTTTTTTTTCCCACCCTACTGGCAGCTTGACAAAACACTGTCAAAACCAGCGTTCAGAGTCATTTCTGTCTGATTAGCAAGTAGTCAAATATTTATTCATGATCTGATTCTGAATATGTCAGAACTGCTATTAAGTTACCTACATTTGTCTGCAACTGGAAGTTACCTATCTATTTTTTGGGAACTGGTATGCACGTTTAGTCAGCTACTTCAGTTTAGAGGATGACCTAAGAGAAGTAATCTGCCAAGGTCATCTTTGCTCCAGTTCTTGAAAGTATTTAAAAACACTAAAATAAAAGCATGCCTGTATCAATTTTGGCAGAGACCCCACCAGAGGCCTCCAAATTGGCAGTTTAGCAAGGCAACGAGGAAGAGAAACTGCAGATCAAAGATCTTATATTTTGCTAGTGAATTTTCATAGTTATTAGCAACCTTCTAATTAACAGTGCTTTGAACAAAGTAACCTACATAAAAGTCAATTTACTTTCTAATCTTAAGAAAAAAATACAGAAAAAAGAGCATATATTTTCCAAAATTAAAATTACATCTTAAGTTAGCTGCCTGTTATGCACCAAGTTCCATGTTTCTCATATAAACTAGGATCATTTCTCCATGACACAGGTCATCTTTCAGAGCCATAGAAGTGTAGTGGTGACTGCTATCTAACTCCCATGTGGTACTTTCCACAAATAGTCTGTAAATCTTTTTCTAAAAAAAACCCTAATTCTCTCTTCCTCCTATCGACACAATGACATGACCACAACTGATAAAGAGGAAGCCATTTGCTTACACTCATACGTATGACAGTGGCAGAAACTCGAACACAAGTTACCCACAACTTCCCAACCCACAGGCAGAGGTAGCTTGCACTATGCTTCCTCCATTATCAGGTTTGATCCTGCAAAGTATAAACTAAGATACAAAGTTAGAGAGATGCTAATGAGCTTTCAGGATTACCCAGCCCTGTGGTAACACAAGGAATAGCTTCTTCCATTACTGGCACTGTAAGCAAACATAACCATGAACTCTGTATCAGTAGATTCTTTTTTTGTAGAAGAAATGCACTTAGGACCTCACACTTAACCACTTGAGTCCAAGCACTTAAACAATTAAGCAGCACTGCTGACACAAGCACGCCAGTTTGCAGGATGGAGGTTCTTGAATGGAGAATACTTGCGTAACAACTGAAAATCCTCCAACCCTGAGCACGTGCCTAACTAATTTTCGACTGGGGATGTAATCCCCATGTGCTCCGAGTTGGGGGATTTTCAGTTGTTATGCAAGTATTCTGAAAAACATCTCACCAAGCTTCAGAAGAAACAGAGGAGAGATGCAGTTAAAGGAAAGAAGCCTTGTAAGAGAGCGGAGCAAAGAAGAAAGAAGAGTAGAATGCAAGAAACAACCTCAGAACATCTCATTTCCTCTCAGTTTTGGGGACAAAATTTTTCATTGGAATTGCCTTTGAAGAAAAAAATTTTCTAAATAAAAATGCTGCTCAAGAAAAGCTCTTCGTTCCCCGTTCCCCCAACAACCTAAACAAAGCTTTGCTGAAGAAACACCAAAGCTAGCAGGACTTGGGTTCAGGGCAAAGCTGGGGAGCCTGTTTTTCATGTGGTGTACAGTCTTGGTGTGGAACTCGTCACACGTGATGGACGCCAACAGTCAGCACAGGCTTGGGGGGGACAGCACAAATTCAAGGAAGAGAGCTGTGGTGGGCAGAACACACTGCAACCACATGCAGCTGAAGAAGTCCCCAGGCTGCAAGTGGTTTGGAGACTAAAAGAGCACTCTGTGGAGGTGTTACACATGCTCTTACACTCCTCCCTCTGTTGCTGTCAGAGATAGGATACTGGGCTAGCTGGACTCTTGGTCTAATTCCGTTTCACTCTCCTTTTCTTCTGAGCACTAGGAGATGAACTGCCACAGTCTTCCAAACAGCAAAAATAGACGCCAGATTTCCTGGGATATCTGATGCTCTGGTGCAGGACAGCAGAACGGGAATGCAGCAACATGCACAGTAAAAAAGACAATGTGGTCAGTGGGTAGGAGGGAGTGAAGCACAATATGCTGAGCTCAGTGGAAATACACATAATCGTTGCTGAATCATAACATGAAGACAAGCTTCAAGTTTTCTTTAATAATGAGAAAGTAGTTAAGGACAAGGTCTTCCCAATACAGCTTTGAATTGCAATGTTTATAACAACTGGACTCAAAATGACCATTCAGAAATGACTTCACAGAAAGCTGAATTCAACCTACATGCCTCAGCAGCTAAGAAGAATTTGAAAACTATCATGTTTCTTGCATCCTCAGCTCACTAATACCAGAGAAAGAAGAATCTTCTGTTTACAATACAGTGTAGCACTGACTCCTCTGCCTTCCTATCTAGAACTGGTAAGAGGCTTTTACTAGCCACAGTTTCTTTTGGCAGATATCTGCTAAAAACCTTTTGCACGTTGGCACGGATTTATGCAACACAACACTGCCATCAAGTCTCCGAGTTCTCTGTTCCTGTCGGCTGTCTAGCAGAAAGCTGGTGTGTTGAATGAGCAAGAGTCCTGGGTGGGAAGAGATACCTTACCAAATGTGCTTAATTCTACTACTAGGAAGACAGTTCATCGTAGCTACAATGACCAATCTAGAAACCAGTCATTATTTCTTACTCCAGTATCTCCGAACATTAAAATATGAAGCCTGCAGTAATGTATGAGGTTCAGCCCATACATTCAAAGCTATTTTCCAAGTTGGACAGACACACAGATTTCACAGAAGGATGTGCGATATGCTGCGAAACCATTTTACACTGCAGTATCATTCTGCAAGTTGAGATAAGGCATCTTGTTCTCCTATTAAAAACTGAGTTGGATTTTTCAGGAGCGGGGAGGGAGACTTCAAATACCTTCAGAAATCACATTCCTACATTCCAAATTTTCAGAAGGGCTAGGTGAGGGGAGTTGTTCTATTTTATTTTCAGGAAGTCCCACTGTGCAAATCAAGTTGTAATAAAACAAGGTTTAGATCCAAGAGAAACAAGTTTTCCTAAGAATATATAAACACTTGAGTTGGTTTATGCTCGCATTGTAATAATATTGGTTATTAGCAGCAAATTAGCAGCAATATTAGCTAGTTGCTATAGCAAATTGGCTATAGCAGCAATCATATAAAATATATATATTTTAGCAACTTTTCTGGAGTGAGACAGCTAGAATAGCTGCTGGGAGTTGCATTCATTGCTTCTTAATACTTATAGGTACACGTAATACTTCTTACTTTAAGTAATCCGCTGAGCTCACAAAAGCTAATAACCTGCCACAGCCAATAAGATACTCTACTATTTAGCATTTTAGTATTAAAGAAACAATCAATAGATACAAACCTCTTCTTTCGTTTTCTTGTTTTCTGCTCTAAGCTCTTCATATTCACCAATAGCTATACAAGAAGAAAAAAAAAGAAAAAAAGTTAATATTGCAGCACCTTCTTTACCCAAATTGTCTCCATTTCACTCCTTTTAAAGCTCTTCTGGCTATCTACACAGACCCCTTAAATAACATGGGTCATAAACTTCATTAATAGCCTATGGGTGAACTGGATAACCTTTTAGAATTGAAGTAATTGGAAAGTGTCTGAAAAAGATGGTGGCTCCCAAAACAATCAATTTTTGATCAATGGAGAGTTAAACAATCTTATTGATTGAGTTCAGAAATTACAAGGTGAATGTACTGGCTTGTGGTCACCATTTTAAACCCGCACTGGCTCAGGTTACAGATCAATGCTGGAAAGCATGGTTAATGCAATACTGTTACACATGTGTACCTCTAGAGTAGCTCAGCACCTTTATTTATTTAGTTGCATTTTCTTCCAACAAAAGCCCTAAGAGAGATTTTTTTTTTCTTTAAACTCCACAGTGGAGACATGAAAAGACTGTATGATTTACCCAAGATCACACAAGAACTCAGCTGCAGGGAACAGGATCAACCTCCTGTATGCTGGAAGTCCATTGTTTCAAACCAATAAATAACATGCAGAAACAGTTGAGCAGCTACCAATTAAGTTTCCAGTTTACTGTGTATTTCTGTGTGCCCTTCTTAAACGTTTTATTTTACCTCCTTGGGGACATGCCATCGTTGCCCCAACTTCCCAATTCTATTGTTCTTTCAGTGTGTCCCATTTGGGTTGTCTGGCCTTTGAGACTATAGAAACTTTACTGCCACTAGAAAGAACCTTAATATGCCTCCAGACATTAAAGAAACAAACCTTGCTTGAAAGGAACATTTTTCAGTCTTTCAGATGAGTACTGCAATAATAAAATGAGAGGGCTGTTGAAATTACTCTAGAACATCTTATTCCAGCCCCTCGGTATGTCCTCAAATTTCTTCTTGTACCTAACAGAAGCTACACTAGCATACAGGTATTATTTCAAGCCAACTTAATTAACACTGTATAAAGGCTATGAACATATAGTTTTCAGCTAATGACAGCAGATATGTTGTAGTTTCAGCTTGAACTTAACATGTCTTACCCTACATCTGAAGACATGAACATGTAGTCTGGTAGATTAGACACCTGAAAACCTACTAACCCTTTCTAGATTTAGATAAACTGTCTCAAATAATAAGCTCTTACAAATAAAGTTACACTTTACGCTGTTGTGACGTCCCTCTTCTCCCCCATATCAGCATTTCAAAATCTGTTGAAATAAAACTAATGGAACTCACTCCTGAAAGCCAGGTCCACAGCACCACTGTTCTGCTTGCCGTCACCGTGCCTACGCCTCTCAGCAGCAGCACAGAAGCACCTCAGACGTAAAAAACTCAAATTATGCTAATTCCTCTTTTCTTCAAGATCACTTCATTTTAGAGATGCAGGACTGAGGTACATGAAGTCTGGGATATAGACAGCAGTATGAGCTCACAAAACACAGGACTCTGCCCCTCATGTGCCCAGAGCAGCAACAGGGAAATGGCAAGACACTGCAAGACTATTAACTAGGAAGGGAAATTGAGCAACAGTAGAAATCTCTTAGCTCTGCTGTTACCAGCAAGTGTTGAAAATTTTCCAGGGCTCTCAAATAAGAAAAAAAAAAAAAAGTGAAATAAGACCACTGAAAACAAAGTCACAGGCCACATGCAAACTCACAGGAAATCTGTAATTTAAACAGATGGGGAAAAGTCCTCACTGCTGCTCATCCAAGTAAAAAGGTATATCTAAAGAGTGAAACGAACAAAACGAGGTTTCTTTAAAATGTGCCCTGCATTCCCGCACCAGCAAAACCAGGGTCACTCATCTATCCCTTTACTTTATCCCCACTTCTCCTTACCTACCCCTGAGATCCCTACCCATCTCCCGTACTCAAGAAGCAGAAAAAATCAACAGGTAGATGAACAGGGAAGAAACCATGCTGATGCAGGTGCTCTAAGAAAGGACATATACAGTGAAACAACATTTTTCCTACACAGGAACACAAAAGCTATGCCTGTTGATCACTGTTCCCCTTCTAAGCCACTTTCCTGTTCCCTTTAGGAAAACAAGGGAAGAGATTTCCAGCATCCAGACGCAAGAAAAGGAATGAAAACTGTAACAACAGATAGAATTCAAGATTCTTCATACTTGAAAACTGCTAGTGTTTGCTCACCTTTAAGGTAAACTCATACTTGTTATTCAGTACTTTATAAATGACTGAAAAACGTAAATGTAGGTTTGCCCCACCCTTAACAGCTCTCCTCACATGCTCTGAAAACCCAGAACTCTGAATCATCAGCCCTCAAGGTATGGATACAAGAACAAGTTACCAAAACCCAAGAATATGAACTTGGACGATGCTCCAGCAACCCCCAGTACGGGCTCACCTGTGTGAGACTGGGAATTAAACCGCCCGTTCAGGGTAGCCCTTCCTTCTTCTGCTGCAGATGTTAATCCATGGCACGTTTGTCATGGAATGCAAACACAAAACCATCAGCTACCTCGTGCTGCATTCACATAGCACCTTTCTTCAGTGGCTTTTCACAATGCCCACCCTCTCACTGCCATTGCAAAACTGTTGGCTCTTCCTTGAACACAGCTAATGCACAGTAAGGATCTGGTATCTTAAAATAAGGTTGTTCTTCATGGATGGCAATCTCTAGATGATGCTCCCACATAGATCCCATCATTCAGATTTTTGGGTATAGAATCTAATACCTAATGAAGAAAATGCTGGTTTTATCAGGCCTGGAAATAGAAATAATAATGAAAAAACAACTGCACACATTTTCCACTATATATCGGATTTTCTGCCAAGGCAGAAGATGGCTTGGAAGTTATGAAGTGTGACTGGAAGGCTGGTGCATTTTCTTTTTTTTTTTTTTTTTTTTTTTTTGAACATTAGGCAGCAGTTATTGGGAAGTTGTTATACAAAGTTTTCCAAGTACAATGAAGTTTTGAGGCCATTTCAAAAAGTCTAGAGTCTACACAACCTTCACTGAAGCAGTAAATGGCATGTGAGAATGACCTCTTTGCCCTAACACTACCCTGGAACAATTAATACCAGCAGCACCAGGCAGCACTTTACACATTCCAAACAGCATATTAGATTATTTAGTTGTAAAACCTCTGTGTTAGAACAGGAGGCATCATTGTCACTCTGCCATAAATGCTGTTACACGAGGACTTCCCTAAATCTTCTCAGAGAGACAGGACAATTTTTTCTCCTTAACCTATGAAGGCTCTCACACAATATACACGACAATGGTACCTGAGCATCTCAAAACTTCTTACATCTCACCGTGACTCATTCAGATTATGCTGTATGTAAATTACCATAGAAAAAAGATATCTCTTTCCAATAAAAGTGGTGAATGAAACAAACAAGTGAAGATGCTTTACTAAAAAAAGGTGCTACTGAAATTCTAGAACTACACATCACTTTTTTAAATAATCAATAATGTAGCATATATTGATAGTAAAATGCCTCCAGTGAATCCTGAAGAACTATAATAAATATATATCAGACACCTCCTGAGATACTGTTGCTGTCTGACGCTAAATTAAGTTTATCTTTAATAGAATTATTCCTGATACACAGCAGTATCATATAAACAACTGATCAGGATACAAATCACATTTCTTTGCTTCAGGCTATCTTCATGCAGTCTGAGGGCAACACCACAACTTCACTTCAAGACTAAGGAAAGAAAAAGGCTGGGAAAAGGAGAAAAGAACAGAATATTTTGGGCTACAGCTCTTTACCCACTGAAAACATATTCCCAGCCAACCCTGCTCTTACTGTAAAACAGTGGAACTACTAAATAGCCAACATGAGTGAACACAGCATGCTGCTTCATAACACGACCATGCTCATTCACCAACTACTCACTCCACAGCTCAGCTGGCCAGAAGAGACTGTCCTGTCAACATGTATCAGCACACTTTACCTGCATTAAATTCAGCAGATAACTTTGTATACAGAAGTTCCTTTAATTATATCTTAGCCTTTTGATTTTTAGTTGTGAACCTGCGCCTCCTGACCCGGATTTGCTAACAGAAGATATGTATTATCTAAATTAGAAGTTTTATGTAATAGATACTTAGTATGGCTAAAAAGCACTTATTAGTAAAACAAGGTCATAAGGGTACAAGTATGTAATTACGATAATTCATAGTGAACAACAGAAAAGACACCTTCATTTACATAGAGCGAGGTGGTGAGCCTCTTATTCTTTTTATTAAAAAAAATTCATCAACCCCTTTCTAAAGCTGTACATTGAAAAAAACACGAATTAAAAAAAACAACCTTAAAACCGCTACATGCATATACTTTAGCATTTATATTGTAAACCACAGTGGCCTCCGAGTAGAATGAGAGCCCTTCCATGTCAAATCAACAAGTAAAGCCACTTCAGCATTTCTATCCTACTTACTTAATCAAAAAGTAAGTAGAGCTGTCAAGGAAAGCAAGTGTTATTCCACTATTTATTCTTCCAGACTATGGACAAGGCATGCCTTTATCAGTACAGGCAAGAGAAAGAGTTTACAGAGCAAGAAGTCCTTAGCTCTGAATGAAACAAGCTAACCTAATGAAGTCATTTTTTTATTGGTAGAAGTAAATTAACATCTGGCTTTTTGCAGGTTTGGATATATCATCAGAGAGAGAATTACTCCTTACAGCAACACTGCATCAGAGGCTTTAACTGGACTGCTGCCACCACCTTCCTCATCCCAATGTACCTGGAATAGGAAGAGTCAGGCCAAGGCTGTTGTACAATCCATCTCTCAAATAGCAACAGACTCTCTACAAGCAAGCATGCACAAGACCTGGGAATTGCTGTCAAGAGTATAAACAAAAGTCAAAAGAGCTCAGTTTTTCTCTTGTTCCCTGTTTTAGGCTCAAAGATCCCTTCCACTAAACCCAGGTGATCTCTATTTCAACAGGATGTGATATGGCATTGGCAGCACCAGTCATGTACAAACTACTCCTAACTGATGCTTGGGCAGCATTTTTAACATCTCCTGGGCCTCCATGAAAGAGAGATGGAGCTGAGGAATAAGCCTTTATGGGTTTCTGTAAAGATGAATGTATGTGATGGCATTATACCGTCACTGTACACAATGGCTCCAAATATTGAGTCATTCAGAATACATAAATCCACCATGAGGCCTAAAGCTTACATGGCCAAACCAAGCTTTTGGCCACCTATCAGTTGCACTAGCTGATACCTACAAGATTAAATTACCAAACAGTTCTTTAAAAAAACATAAATAAAAATCATGTGTGTAAGTATGTAAAGGTAAGCATTAAGTACAAACACTGTAAGTCAGATCCTGTGTCTGTGTTCCTACGTGCCACCATTTTACTCAAAACTGCAGAAGTGTGTTCAAAAAATTTTTTTTAAATTTCAAGTTTGCATCCTGCAGTCTTACAGCTTCCTGGAAACTGGACAGGGAAATTAAACACACCACAGCCTGATAAAGCCCAACCACTAAGCCCACACTCAAAGATCTGCCTTCACAAGTTTCTGAAAAATAGGTATGTTTCAACATAGGAAACCAAAGCAGGAAACACTTTTAAACCCTAACAAATGAAGAAAACATTAAAGCAGGATGGGTTCTGCTGGGGAATGATCACTTCTGTCTATGAACATCCACAT